ATATATATATATGACATTATCTTCTAGCCACCACATATCATCTCCTAGCTCACTTCACCTTCACAAAGTCGTCCACCACCACCTCCCGTTTTTCCGGTTACCTTCCCGCCGACGAGCCGCAGCCGAATTGCAGCCCTAGTAGCTGGCAAGTCGCACCAGCTGCCATTCGCTGCTCTCAAACCCCGTCGGTCGCAGCCCCACGCCTAGCGACTGGAACCACCACCGCGCCCAGCTCCTTTCTCAAGCCCGAACCACACGTCGTCGTTCTCTCAAGATTACTCGAGATTTAGGTACATTTACCTGTTTCACCGCAAGTCCGGATGCTTTGAGAAATTCAAGGAGTATCGGGCAGTTGTGGAGAAGCTTCATGGTAAAACTATCAAGTCGCTTCGATCTGATTGAGGTGCCGAATACCTTTTTGGAGAGTTCAGGACATACTTGTCGGAAGTTGGGATTGAATCCAAATTGACCGCACCAGGCATGTCCTAGCAGAACGGGGTTGCAGAGCGAAGAAATAGGACTCTTATGGAGATAGTTATGTCGATGATGAGTTATTCAAAGTTACCAGATTTGTTCTGGGTATGGCGTTGGAAACTGCATCGTATATCCTGAACATGGTTCATTCAAAGTCAGTTGAAACTACTCCTTATGAAATGGGGAAAGGGCGTAAGCCCAGTTTCTCGCAGTTTCGAGTATGGGGTAGCCCTGCACACGTGTTAGTGCATGAAGCTGGCAAGTTGGAGAAACGTTCAGAAGTACGAGTGCTTGTTGGCTATCCCAAGAGAACGGGGTGGATTATTTTACAATCCCGAGGATCAGAAGGTGATCGTTAGCACGAGCGCTAGATTCTTTAAAGACGATTATATTATGAATCACAAGCCCACGAGTAGATTATTCTTACAGGAGTTGAGGAGTGAAGCCGATAGTTCTCCACCGAGTGCAGAAGTAGATAAATAACATAAAACTGCAACACGACACACTGAGAGTGTACCAGTGCAGACAGTACCTCATCGAAGTGAGAGGGTGTAACGCCCCGTTTTATTTTAAGGAATTTACCAAATTTATTTATAAAAATCAGAGTTTATTTTTCGCATATTCCCAATTTAAAATTTGATTATCAATGGGCGCTACTTAACTACCAACAACAATCTAACAAATACGAACAAACAGATTGAACCTACACATGCATAAACTAACAGTTATAAAACTTAAACTAAATATTCATAAGTTCCAAATGGTCCATCCAACATAAGCATAATATTCAAGCGGAAGCAGAAAATATCCAAGGTGGAAACTAGTAGTTCAAGATGAACAATAACAGGCGGAAGCAAAAGACAATAATATTACAATAACGAATGACTACCACTCGATCGTCTTCACGCCGTCGCCGCCAGCCATGCTCAACCTAAAGAAAGGAAGAGGAGACAAAGAGAAAAATAATGGGGGTGAGCAAAACCATTATGCTGACCATTACCGCACAATATATCCCGCATAAAGATTGAAAACCATAAATAAAGTATGCATAGAATCCAAGGTCTACTCCCTACACGGCCCTATCGCAAACCTCCTATGTACATACAACAACCTTCCGAACAGACATCGGCAAGGTTGTAACCGAAAACTTTCCCTCCCCAGCTCGACATGGGCAAATGGATCCTTTCCAAGAGACAGTGGAGCTGTT